GATCGAGTGATCAAAATAATTTCTCCCGATAAAACTAGCTCAAATTTTACGTTTTTTCATATAAAAAAAAAAGAAGTCTTTAATTTTTGCATGGCATCATGACCGAGTAAGAGGAATTATTGGTATAACCGGTGTAAAACATCGCGAAGTAAGTTATGTCATGTCGTAACTTTGATCGTTTGGAAGTGTTATTTGTTCGTTCATTTACTGTAAATGTAAACGTTAGGAGCTGATGGTCAGAATAATAACCAACAATCCGCCAAATAACTACATGATCGATTTTTTAAAGGAGAATATTGTAGTAAATAAGATCATGAAAGTGGTGAACATAATCCTGGCTCAAACGTTTCAAATGAGTTTCATTTAACCTTTTACAATTTATTTGTTTCTTTTTAGTCTGCAGCATTTGCATTTCGAGAATGTTTCATTTTTAAATTCAAACTCTTCTAAATTGTGAAACGTAATATTTTGACTCTAAAAAAAAAAATATTTTCCCTGTGACGGAGCTCATTAATATTACAAAAGTGCCCAAAATAAAAGTGTTTATAACACTGTGTGAAGCAAATAAATATCTGCCACTTTGTTTTTAAAAATATATGTTGTTTATTGTGTGGGTGTAAATGTGCTTTGGTCAATTTCCATTATTATGTAAATGATATGCAAATTAGGCCACCACAGTGGTTTAAATTTCTGGGGATAACACTGTACCGTGAGATTGTGAAAGGTGATTAACCTTGGCTTTGGTTTTTAATCCCAGTACCGGTATTGTTCTTTTGTAGAAATATGAAGTTAAATACGTCCCAGGTTATATCCTAGCACAGCGACTGGGAATATCAAGTCATCTAGTCTCAAGAATTACAGGCTCATTCTTGGTTTTGAAAGGATCAAGTAGAAGGTATATTTCATTTTCTTCATTTTGAGAACAGCTGCATCTTGTAATAAATATGACAAGTTTTTTCTATTCATTGTTCAGACAAGTAGAAAAACTGTCCTCTATCTCAGAAGTGCATGGATCTGATTCTGACTTTGCATAAGGGGTTCACATCCATGTAATTTTTACCGTAGGTGAAAGGCAAGGTATACAAGGAGAAAATATCTGTTGTCGTCGTTATTGTCGTTGTCGTCGTTAACTCAGCATAAATAATTTTTTGTGGTTAAAATAACTCATTACAAACATTTTTTATCCAATTTCTTTCAAACTTTTCCCAGGAAAACTGTAGTTGCCTCCTAGGAAATCCTTGTATGAGAGGTGATCGCAAACTCTATAACAATATGTTTGTTATTACAGTGGGAATCCGAATCCTAGCAAAGTAAACATAGGCTTGAATTTGAAGTTCAACAAGAGGAATAAAGAAGTAGCAGGTTTTACTCGGAAAGATGAAGACGGCAATTGGACGTATTCCATCAAAACACAACATATTATTGCAGACTATATTGAAAAGTAATAATATTTTTTTTTTCATTCAAACATTATTGCTTTCTTCTGTATGTCTGCTTTATTTCTTAACCTTTTTACTACCAGTTCCCTTTTCATCACAAATTCACAAAATAGTCTTGTTTATAGTCTGTACTTTCCGTCAGAAGATTGGAACAAAAATAGCCAAATTTCATTATTAAAATTGACTCAAATTTTGTGTGGGGGTTCATTTCCAAAAGTATTGAAAAATATATGAAAAAAGTGAGAAAAAAAAATTGGGTTGAGAAAGTCTGGTGGTGAAAAGGTTAAATCCTTTCGCGAAGCGCTTTGGGCAGAATTTTGACGGTGCTGCTAATCAAATTCAGGGTGCTAACTGACTGTCTGTTACACTGCTAAGAGATGACGAAAGTGTACTGTTATATTAAATAAAGAAAAGCCTACTTAACAACAAAGAGTATTTTTTATCGTCACTGTGATAACAGTAATTAACAAGTTTATTCATTGGATCCTACATGTTGAAGCAATAATTGACAAGCAGACTTGGGAAATGTGCGATTCAGCTTAAAATGGTTATAAGAACACTTTTTTTATCTGTATTGATTTTCATAATTATTTTCTCCATTGAATGAAGACTACTCTTTGGCTTTTGTGTGGACAGTAACTGACAAACATTTTATTTATTTCTCCTAAGGTTCCCAGATTTATTTGACCATGTGTCTCAGAATGCCCAAAATGACATGTTCTATGAAGACGATGTGTTCGGTGAAGATAGTGACCGGGCATCACAGATTTCTGATTGGCTGAAGACGTTGTCATGTCACGGAGTTGAACAAACAGAGGTTGGATTGAAATCTTTGGATGAAAATGTTGTTAAAGCTATTCAGGAAGAGATGGAAAAAAACAAGGTTGGTGATTCATTGATATTATTGTCAATTTAAATTTGAATCCAGTATGTACTGCATGATTCTGATATCAATATTTCCCCTATCCTTTGAATGGAGTAACTTTTGTTCAAAAATTTTAGTGCAGCATTATACATATATTTGCAAATTTTTTGATAATTTCTTTGTTAACTTTGAACCACATGTACAAAGTTTCCCATTGGCATTCAGTATTGGTGAAAATGTTTGGGAAAATAAGAGGTGACAACAGTTCAAAAAGTTGCACTTGGAAGTGATACTAGTTTTGTGTGACAAAAGTGTCATGTGACATTTTAAGATTTTTGCCAATCATAGAATGCATGTCCTTTTTATTCAGTTCAAATGCTATAAATTGTTTTCAATCCACATCCTTTACACATTTTCAATCGTACTGTTAAATTAAATAAAAAATATTCTTCAGTAAGCTAGGTGGTCCTTATCCATTTCTCCCTAGGTTTAACATTTTTAAAATTGCTTGCAATTTGCATGGTTTTGAAATTTACCGTGGGCATCCTGAAATACTGCCATGTGTGTACCACAATGCACACATCATTGTTCCTATACACAAATAAAACTAGTATTATCTTGAGTTCAAATGAATGGATACTAGGAGGATACCTTAAAGTATGCACAAAGACAGTACAGCAGGAGTATCGACAGTCACCCATACATACATACAATCTGATTTGATTTTTGATTTGATTTATTTCACCAGAAAACAAACAATGTGAGAATGAAGAAAAAAATGATGTTTGAAATTTTCTGGTTTGGTTCAATCCAAAATGTTTAGAACAGAATCAGTGAACTTTTTTGTGTGGGTCCGGTCAAACCCTGATGGCAGCCATGTTTGTTTTTATTATTAGAGGACATTTACGTGCGTAATAATTCCATATTTTGAATTCACATTTCCTAATATGGTAGGATGAAAATACCCCGTAAAATAACGCAAAATAACGACATGCTGTAATTTATGGCATTACAGTGACAGATAAATAATACTCATTAATATTATACATCTATAACCCTATTGCCATAAGTTACAGTGTAATGAAATTTTGTGTTTTGCACAGGATGTCTGCATCCTACCTTGTGTGTTTGATATGTAGAATAATTACAAAGATGGTGGATGTTTTTCAAAACTCAAGTTCATATCAATAAATTCTCATTTAATTCTCTCCCATTGTACTGTCTCTGCATAATACTTGCATGTCAATAGTTGTTCTTTCTTCATCTTGTACAGTGAGTTGTAACCCATCAATTAATTGTATTGTGATTTTCAGCAAAATAAGACAAAGAGAAAACTTAAGATGAGTGTCAAACCGTATTTGCTGTTCCGGGTAAGATTACCACCATTAAAAGTGTTCAGTGAGAGGGTATCATGCAACACATGTAAAATACTTTGTTTGTTTGCATAATGTTTCCTCCACTCCAATTTACTGTGCTGCTTATATGTTATTTCTATCATGGCTGTACAAATTCATGTTCAAACTTTATATATTTTTAAACCTGCGAACTCGCATCAACTATATAATGCAATAATTTGTTTGTTTTTTTAAAATGATATCCATCTTAGATTTGTTTCACCTTCGGGTTGATGGTTCATTGTATATGCTAAATTATGAAAAGTACTTGGAAAGTTTAAATGATTTTTCAGTAACCAATGTTTTCCACCACTGTAGCCTGTAGGAAGTTTAAATGATTTTTCAGTAACCAATGTTTTCCACCACTGTAGCCTGTAGGAAGTTTAAATGATTTTTCAGTAACCAATGTTTTCCACCACTGTAGCCTGTAGATCAGCAGGGACATCTCATACCAGACCCGGATGCCGACTATGAATTATTCGATAGAGTCATTAACGTACGTGATGGTTTCACTGTTCCTCTGGGTTTACGTGGTGTTGTAACTGGGATAATCTCAGGTAAGAGAAACAATATAGTATACACTTATTGTTCCACTTTTCTGATTGTTACTATCTAAAAATTGTTTTATTTGGGGGGGGGGGGTTGATCCTATCTAAAAAAAGATTATATAAATAATAAATATTTTAGAATGGCTTTTCTAAAATTATTCTTAACGATACTGTTTTGGGATCACAAAATGTTATCTCAACTGTCAAATTTGTGAACTCCAACCCAATACGTATGATCAAAATAATGAAATTAAATACGAGCGAAAATAAATAGTTTTACAGTAAACATAGAACCATACACTATAGGTTTATGTTGGTTGGCACTGTAGTATTCCCCAGCTGCTTATTTGCTGTTATTTCTGCCCATGTGATCACGATTGTTGGGGATTTATGATTAAGGTTTACAACAAAAATATCCACTGTATGAAATAATGATACCATTTCGCGTAGTACCTTACGCCATAGTCAATTTTATTCTGATCAGTGGCGTCATAGACCGTATAGGAATCTTGGAATGCTTGCAGAAAACTGAAATGACCGTGAAGGTGAAATATTGTGCACAGACAAATCAAATTGCATTTGTTTTGAATACTGTGACTAAACTATACATCCATGCGTGCATCAGTCTGTTTTTCCATATCTAGCCGTATCTCACACCGGGTACTTGGATTCAAACTTCACACATATATCAGACCTTATATAGTACATATGTACATGCATTGGTTTCATGGTTCATGGTTAAATTCATCAAAATCACAAATTTTCACTGTTCTCAGGCCGAATCTCAGTTGTATGTGCACAGATTTGGTTTAATCATTGTACTTTCATTGAACGCAATTGGACTTTGATATTAGTTTTCAGATTGTGTTCAAAATTGTGAACTGGCAGCAATTTTGTGTCAAATAATGTATTTCTATAGAGCCATATCTCGTACATGCCTGGAGCAATCAAGTTTAAGCTTTACACACAACTCCTACATCCATGAAGATGTTCAATTCAAACTAACAAATGAGTGATTAAAAACTAAAATACCAACAATTGCATTAATAACTGTTGTGGTATTGAAATAATTTCTCAAAGGTTTTGTTCTGGCAATAAATCATGGAAAAATACCCCAGTTTGCATTCTGTAATTAGAGAATCATGACAACATTTTTGCTATACTGTGTATTGATGTGTCAAAATCAAATTTGTTTTTTTTCTCGTACAGCTGTTAGACCTGCTGATATTCTCTATGAAGTAATATTTGATGATGAGTTTCTGGACGCATTGGTTATACGTGGTAGCGGTGCCCGTGGCTATCACATGCCACCCTCCTCGTTGATCAACATCTCGTATGGCATGCGCAAAGAGCATAGTCAGGAATGTGGCATGCAGAAACCCATGGCCGTAGTAAAACCGCAGACGGCGCCTGAAAAAATGCAGAGTATGGGGTGGTATTCTGACATGGTCAAGTCAGCCGGTTCATCATCGCCAGACAACAGGAGAGGATTTTACAGTCCAAGAATAAATCATTCACCAAATTCACCATTTGTACCCAGTCAGGTAAACAACTTTTGATGATTTGCTATTCAGACTTATGTAACCAACCAAAATGTAGAGATGGTTTGTTTATTTATTTATTTTTTATTTCAACATGCTATTTTAAACAATAACAAAAGACAAACACAAAGCAATTATTAATACCAAATAATTAATACAATTGTATTTTTTTAAAGTTTTGTAAATATGGTCATTCTGGTGAAATAAATAAAATAATATGAAATCCTTATAATAATAATAATAATAATAATAATAAGGGATAATGTCAAAAGGTTGGTGTAGAATAACAAACTGTTATTTATTTATTTTGGCACACAACCCCCTTAATAAGTCCATAAAATTATCAACAGCATAAATTTTATTTCATTTTCAGGATTAGTGGGTTTTTGTCAAATATTAGATTAAACAATATTTCAGAATATTAACAAATTTATAACTTTAAAGCTTTAGATCATTAAAGAAGATTGCTATGATTATTAATTAATTATTAAGTTTATTATAAAAATTGATTTTGTTCACTAGAAACTTTTCATGGCCAAACCTAAGCCCACCCAACTCCTAATGAAGAATGCCACTTATATCTGACATTGATCCTCTCATGTTTTCCCTAATAATAGACAATTATTAATACTGTAAAATACTTTATTTAAGCTGGAATTATTGTAATTTTGAATAATATTAATAATACCTGAGAAGCAGAAGTTAGCTTGATGAAATGCTGTGATAACAAAAAACTATAGAAATTAATACTTCTTTTTTTCACAAGAACTACTTTTTTGTTTGTTCCCAAAAATAGTAAGGAAGTCAAATATATATATATATTTTTTTTTACGTGTTCAGATTTACAGGAGAAGCGGTCAAGGATCTGGTAATGTCAGTTTTGGTCAGGTCAACACTGATAGAAGAGGTCAACAAAGCGCTCCCCAGCATAGTCAAAATCGGCAGTACAACAACCCACCTAACTCCAGCAAGAAAATACTAAAACGACAGGCTCCCCAGCAGACATCTCAATGGAATTCTCCTCAGGGTCAAAATTTATCGCCAAGGCAACAAGATTTGCCCCCGAGACTACAGAAACAAAACCAACAGAGATCACAGCATTTGCAGCAGCAAGACATCCCACCTAGATTTCAAAGACAGCAACAAACCCCTTGTGACAAAAATACTGAAAAGGTGAGATTCTCTTTATTTTATTTTTAAACATTTATACAACTTTACTTTACAAGAGATTTCACATGTTCTGGGATTACATATTGTACTTGCATATTTGTTAGCAATGTATTAATATTTTACAATTTAATCTAAAATGGCTGATTGGTGGATCGAACTTGCATACATTAATTTTATTTTAATCAGTGAAGTGTATATGCTTAGTGAATTGTAAAATTACCCATATCATTGTGTTTTACTTCACAGGATGAGATAACAAAGCCTGCAGCTGAAGATGATGTTAACGAATTTGCAAATATATGGAAATCACTGCAAGACCCCATATCAACTCCATCCCAGGAATCAATGCCATTGCCCATAGCAACAGAGACAAGTGCACCATCATCAGAGAAACTACCAATACAAGCATCTTCATCACCAATATCAACATCTCTTGCACAAGCTGCTGCAGCTCTTCCAATCAAGTCAGCACAAGAAGAAAGAGAAAGATTGCAAAAAAATCAAGAGTTAGTTGCCGGGCAACAGAAAGAAATTGTTCTTCAGCATCGTACTCCGCACAAGAAGATTCAGCTTAAGACAAGATCAGTGCATGCTCTTAGGAGAGAAGAAGAAATGAAAGAACAGTCTGTGGATGAGCTGGCTCCTATTTTGACATCGTTACATCTAGAAACAGATGCTGGGCCTCCATCTTCCACAGTGACGATAACAAACAGCCAGTTCGAACAGGAGAAAGCCGAGGTGGTAGAAGATATAAGAAAATCTCCAGGCACTATTGCGAAGGTAATCCTGCATCAACAAAATGTTCAATTTAAGCCAAAATTAGGCCAGACTGTTAATGCTCTGATTTTTGGTCTATGATTCTTGGATTATACAAGAATATATTGATTAAATTTGCTCACCTGTACTAAATTGATTTTCTATTGTAATATAAATTAAATGCTCTTGACTAGATACATATTTAGTTCACACATGGAGGTTTGCCAGGCACATTATGACCATATAAATATGTACACACAAGATTTGAACTCCTATCTCAATGAATGTATCCTCAAAATGACAGTGGCTTTGATTTTTATTAAGCCATATAGCTTGGCAATTTGGTGCCACGCATGCATGTCAGATTGAGTCATACACAGTAAAATGTTACTTGTGCTGTGTATTTGGAATTATTTATTTTTTAAGCCTTACTGTTAAGATAAGTTACGAGATGTACATGTCAGTGTAAGTCAATGAGAACAATAGTAAAACTGAAAAACATGTAATTACAGCGACCGTGTTGATGATACAATAATTGATTCACCCTTGTATGTTGATTTCCAGGAAAGCACTGAAGCAATTTGTAAACTGTTAAATATTGGTAGTGCCCCCTTGCAAGAAGAAGAGAAGCCTGTCAGTCCATATGGCCAACCAGTTGAAATCTCCACACTCTTTCAAGGTAAGGTTCTTTGCTGCTTAGACATGGAAACCCTTAAATTTGTCCCATTTATTAAGAAGGCCCAATTACATACGAATATAAATCATTATAAAATATAATTCATTACAGAGTTTGTTTATCTGAAATACACTTCACTTATTTTTTGGTGCAGACCAATTTTTACTCTCTATTTATTATCTTTTTTTCTATTTCATATTTCCAGAAGCACAGAATTCCATGCAGACGCCATCATCTGTTACTAAGACAACACAGCCAGTGATAGTCTCTTCTCAACCTACAGCTATTTATACGATGCATCATGCAGCGGGTGTGTCATCTACGACAACGTCAGTAACTACGCAACCAGGATTTTTGACATCTGAACCACAGCTAGTGTCATCACAGCCTGGAACACTGGTTTCTCAACCAACGTTTGTGCAAATGTCATCACATGCCATGTCTGTGTCGTCACAGCCGAGACAAGTGACATCACAACCGGTAGCATTAACTTCCCAACCAATGATATTGACGAATCAGCCAATGCCAAATCCATTAATGCAAGCACGATCTGTGTCGTCTCGCCCAATGGTATTACCATCCCAACCAATGTCAATGCCCCAGCCAAGACCTGTAACAATGCAGACAGCAGTCTCATCTATGCAGCCCATGTCACTATCAGCCCATCCAGTCCCAATGTCAATATCACAACCAATGCATGTACCATCTCAGCCAGTGTCTATGATTTCGCAACCAATGCCAATGTCACAGACTAGACATATGCCATCTCAGCCAGTTACACTCTCATCTCAGCTGGTGTCACCACATTCATTACCACAGCCTATCCCGCTGTCTTCTCAATCTGTATCCTCTCAACATATACAAGGTGCCATGGTTCAACCACAGAGTCCTGGTATCCATGCTACTACTGTTATACCTCAGCCACAACAGAATTCAGTCATGGAGTTGTTCCATTGGTGCAAGAAGCAGAAGTATCCACCACCAACATACACTTTTCATAATACTCCTCAAGTAAGTAACAAATTAGTAAAGTATGATTTCTGTTTTTGTGTTCAAGTCATAAATTGACCATGATTACATGTCATAAATTTAAACCATGATTACATGACATAAATTCAGACCATGATTACATGTCATAAATTTAGACCATGATTACATGTCATATATTCAGACCATGATTACATGTCATAAATTTAGACCATGATTACATGACATAAATTTAAACCATGATTACATGTCATAAATTCAGACCATGATTACATGACATAAATTCAGACCATGATTACATGACATAAATTCAGACCATGATTACATGTCATAAATTCAGACCATGATTACATGACATAAATTTAGACCATGATTACATGACATAAATTTAGACCATGATGACATGACATAAATTTAGACCATGATGACATGTCATAAATTCAGACCATGATGACATGTCATAAATTCAGACCATGATTACATGACATAAATTCAGACCATGATTACATGTCATAAATTCAGACCATGATTACATGACATAAATTTAGACCATGATTACATGACATAACTTCAAACCATGATTACATGACAAATTTAGACCATGATTACATGACATAAATTTAAACCATGATTACATGACATAAATTCAGACCATGATTACATGTCATAAATTTAGACCATGATTACATGACATAAATTTAGACCATGATTACATGTCATAAATTCAGACCATGATTACATGTCATAAATTTAGACCATGATTACATGACATAAATTTAAACCATGATTACATGTCATAAATTCAGACCATGATTACATGACATAAATTCAGACCATGATTACATGACATAAATTCAGACCATGATTACATGACATAAATTCAGACCATGATTACATGACATAAATTTAGACCATGATTACATGACATAAATTCAAACCATGATTACATGACATAAATTTAAACCATGATTACATGATGTAAATTCAGACCATGATTACATGACAAATTTAAACCATGATTACATGACATAAATTCAAACCATGATTACATGACATAAATTCAAACCATGATTACATGACATAAATTTAGACCATGATTACATGACATAAATTTAAACCATGATTACATGATGTAAATTCAGACCATGATTACATGACATAAATTCAAACCATGATTACATGACATAACTTCAAACCATGATTACATGACATACAAATGTAAATTCAAACCATGATTACATGACAAATTTAGACCATGATGACATGTCATAAATTTAGACCATGATTACATGACAAATTTAAACCATGATTACATGACATAAATTCAGACCATGATTACATGTCATAAATTTAGACATGATTACATGTCATAAATTTAGACCATGATTACATGACATAAATTTAGACCATGATTACATGACATAAATTTAAACCATGATTACATGACATAACTTCAAACCATGATTACATGACATAAATTCAAACCATGATTACATGACAAATTTAGACCATGATGACATGACATAAATTTAGACCATGATTGACATGTCATAAATTTAGACCATGATTACATGACATAAATTGATAATATGATTATATCATTTCAACTTTGAAAGAATTATCCAGAATGTCTTTTTCTCTGAAATAATAAATTAGGGGGGATGCTATTGGCATATGTTCCCTTAAACCAATGTCTTGTATCCCCATTGTTACTGTTGAACACAGTATTCCCAAATTTTAATGAGCATTATGTCAGAATTTTACCCACAGATATTATGATTACATGACATAAATACAATAAATATAAAATATAAAAACTCTTCAAGTAATCTTTTCAGGGAATGTGTGTATGATGTGTTGTGGTGTCTTTTAATTATGTTGTTTGATTTCAGGGTCTATGGGTGTGCACAGTGAGATTAGTTAGTGGAGTAACGTACAATGGTATACCATGTAACAGCAAAGATCATTCCTGTGCAAGTGCTGCCTCTGTGGCACTCACTAATGTAGTAAGTCAATAGAATAGCTTACAAATAATCTTGTTATTATGTAATTTTTGCTGAAGCAATAAACCTCCATGGGATTCCACCAAATCACCAAAAAGCCATAGTGAAGTGATGCAATCAGTTTGAAATTGACATTATCGTCTGAACATGTCCATATTTGGTCAGTTTCACATGCTGATTACTTTAATATATTAATTCTATTTTTAGTAGATCTATGTTGTAAACAAATTTAATGGCCTTTATTCATGACCCCAAAATGTCACACACCCTGGTAATTGGCGGGGTGGAGGAGGAGGGTGAGATGGGTGTTGTTATCTCCCTTTAATAGCAATTATTTCAAAAATTATACATAAATTTTTGACATTTTTCACTTCTTTTGAACTTCTTGGATAACTGCTTGAATTTTTTGGAGAAACTTATTTAGAAAATATCATTAATAATGAATTCATACCCCCGAAAATACCAGGATATATGTCCTTTTGAGGGTCAAGCATAAATCCTATTCTGCTAGTGACAATATCTTTTATTAAATGGAGTTTCTGTAAATGACTTGTATAATCTAATGATGATGTCTTACAGGTGATGAATCAGCCACAGAGATATTCACAATCACCAAGAGGTCAACATTCACAGTATATCCAATCACCACGACAACCTCAGCCTCAGCAGCATGCAGTGTCCCCACATATGGTACCAGTACGATCCCCACATGGTGTTGCCATTCGTGGTGGGCCATATATGCAGTATCAACAGCCAACCAGCAGAATGCAGATGAGTGAGTGCATCAATTCAAAGTCTCTTTAACACTGTCTAATGATACCAATTCCAATTCAGAATCCAACAATGTGATATTCAGGAGCTGTTTTGAACTCCAGCTTTTTAGTTTCCATTTGGATATATGACTTGACCTTCGTTCACATGTGCAAAGTCTCTGACATGCCTGACCAATCACATTCAAATTTCACAATTATATCATACATCCTAGGATGCATAAGCACGTCCATTTGTTTCACAATCTGATTCAAGATGGCTGAATGGGGGCCATTTTTATGCTTAAAATTCAGCAAAATCAAGCATTTGTGTCATTCCAGAGCCGAATCTTGGTTGTGTAGTAATTGATATCAAACTTGGTACATACATTGGACATTATGGGTCCTTGATGCATGTTGTTTTGTTTTTCAGATCTAAATCAAAATGGCCAACTGGCGGCTATGTCTTTTGTTGATAACTCTGTTGCAGGTTGTGAAACAGTTCAAAATTCCTGGCCCACATGCCACTGGTGTAAATTTGAAGGAAATTGGTCCAATAGCCCTGAGACGCAAATAATCAAGATCTTCTGACACATGCTTTAAAAATAGTGTTTCATTTCTTGTCATCATGTCTACTTTTACAAATACTAACATGCATAACAAGGGATCAGTGAAAAAGATGTCAAAAGAATAAAATATTATTTAAGGGGTGAAAAAAAGTCTCGCTCTAAACAAGATCCCGCAGCCATTTGCAGCTCAGGTCGATTTCAATGGAGGCTTATTTTAATTTATAAATAAATATTTTTTTTAAAAGGTGCAAGAATGCAAGGATCGCCGTATCTCCCACAGCAACAACCATCACCACAGTACTATCATCACAATCAGCCAAGACCAGGGTCCTATTCTCATCAATATCAACAAATATCACTACATCAGCCTGTGATGTCAATGGATTATGGACAACAACCACCATTGGGTACTGTACCACAGTCTTATATCAATAGTAATCCATTTATTCCTCCACAGGTGAGATTTTAATCACATAAAATAAATACTTGATAAAAGCCTAATATATTTTCTACAAAATCTTTATTATGTGTTTTTATAAAACTCAAGTATAATGACAAAAAAAGGACAGATGAGTGGTGTGCACAGTAATAACAATCTACAATCAATTTTAAAATATAGTGAACCGAGGCACGCATATGTGATTAAAAGTCCCGAAAGTTTGTTTACATTGCTCTGTTGATGATTCATGCAGAACGGTGCAGCAGTGTGTGACTTTCTGTCCCTCACACTTGTGTATTTTGTGACAATATTTTAAAGTTTACTGAATATTTTTTGTAAAAAATTCTATTTTCAAATTTTTCTTGAAAAAAGCTGACTTGATTACTTTGATGCTGTGTTGACTACTGTCAGATTTATTCGTTTCATGGTGATAATATCCATGCTCTAATTTTAGGCAATGTTTTTATTTATTTCAATATTGTCCATTACCTTCAAATATTTGTAAAACATTGTTTATTTTACAGGTAGCTAGGATGCAAGTAACTCCTGTTAAAAGTAAATCCATGGATGAGACTAGAGATGCCGTAGATGACACAAACCAAAGTAGCAACACACTCTCACAAGTTGCTATGGAAACTGTACAGAAAATCGAAGACCCAGAACTCATAGACCAAAGCACCACTCAAAAAAGTAATCCTACTCCACGAAAGGGAAGAAAAGGTGGAAAACGTCAGGCAAATTTAGCCATTAATTTTAGCGGTTTATCATAGATTAAATCAGTGATATTTTTAAAATAAGTTTTAACTGTTTTTTAAAGTTTACGAAAACAGTCGTTTCACTTGTAATTTTAGTTGCTGGATTGTTGCTTTCAAAGTTGAAATGTACACATCAACTGTTCTCTGTATCCAGCTTCCTGTGTAAAAGTACTTTTGTGACATAGTAGACTGTCTGTCTTTTAAATTCTGCCCTCTATAAACAATTTAAAAATTCCTTTGTTTTTAGATAGTTGTTGAATAATTTATCTAGTGCCTCTAATAGGACAAATCAATCATGATAATGACAGTAACATTTATATTTTTTGCCAAAAATATAAATAGATTTAAAATGTTTGATTTGGAGTGTTGTATTTCATTCAGTGAGCTTGGTGGAAGCTTTTAAGATCTAATACTGATTCTTTGGACTTAATTTGGTTATTAGTATCTGAAACATGTCAACTCACCGGGAGAAGCATGTCTTCCAGTGTAGCTGAAACCTACATCTTATGCAAAAAGAACATGTCATTTATGTGTGAAGCGTATACATCAGTTAATGCAGGGAGTACATTATATGTATTATTGTCGTATTGTGCACTAGTCTAGCAGGTATAGTTGGTGGTGACATTTTTGTGGTTGTCTTTTCTCAAATACTTGAATGTCTATAGCGTTTGTTTCAAAGTACTACACTATGTGGTTATTTTTTAATGAAGACAATCAATTCTGATAAACTAATGAGTAAACAACAACAGTAACATACTGTTGTAATCATTTCTTTGTTCAGGCAATGAACTTCTTTAGAATACAAAACAAAACAAAACAAATCATTGAACGATCCATTTCATATGCCGTACTGTACGTGTTCCATAACTACATCTGTTCTAGTATGATAGCATAATCGTAACAAACCAGCTTCGGTTCAACTGTGGTCGAATGAAGTGCACAAATAAAGTAACGAAGATAATAATATAATATAGAATTGTCAAATCAAAGAATAATTTTGAACATAAACAATCATGAAACACTAACATATGCACATGTATTACTAAATAGTAAATATGGTAAAGTAAATATACACAACTTTGATTATACCTTACTATATGCATCAATTTGATGTAAATTATCCCTTCTGTGCCAACATTTTTCCCATGATTCAATAGTGAAACAGTAGTAGTATTGTCACTTTCAACTTACATAGTACATTTACCATCTATTTTACATTGTTGCTGAAAGCCTCCAAGAAAGCCAAAATGAATATGAAAAAAATCTGTTGGCAGTTTGTTTTTAAAGTATTACGAACACTCCTTATGCTGATGCTTGCACACAATTTCACCAAATCACAACCTTATGCAAAATTGTATACGAAACTTGGACATACGTTAAACTTTGAAAATGCTCTGTTTTGAAATTGAGGCTCCTGACCTTTTACAGTTATGGAAATGAACAGTTTTCAAATAGCAAACTTTCTGGGTTGACTATATTTTCATTTTGTTGTTTCCTTAGTTATTATAAATCAAATACAATATGTTTCTGTAATGATATTTGGTTGGACATGTGTGTACCATTTTGAATCAGCTTTGCCAGTAAGGTGATGTACTTTTCACATTCTTAGTTCTGTACAAATCACATATTTCTTGTACCTGTAAACCATCAAAGTCATTGATACGCACATTTTTTTTTTTTTTTAAATCTTGAAATCGCGAAAATTCTAGCAGTAAAAATTATGTTTTATAGCAGCACCCTTTGCATGTTACATAATAAGTGCTCCATTTCATAATGTCCTATGTTTGATGTAATGGAACTGTAGAAAAAGTACCAGTATGTCTGCCAATGGTAAGGCAACATAATTCAACATACCTAACATGCAGCTGGTCTATACTGCTGAATTTCTGTTGTCTGTAATGCTCACTATTTGATAGATTTTTTACACAAAAAAAACTCCCAGAATGAACGACTACAGAAAACTGCCATGATTATGATGAAAATTTGCGTATCATTTATCTGCTGCCCTCTATAGGCCAAAGCTTACATAATTGAAACGGTTTACACTATGTATTGTTTTTTGCCATAAATGTGTTCAATTTCAAAGAACCATTAAAGCAATGTACAGTTTTGTCTGTCTATAAAGTATTAAAACAACTCAATTCTATTCCACAATACAGTACAGATTAACTGTTTTTTGTAAACTGGCCACTGTCGGGGCGACTGTTTCAAACATATGTGTAATTGTTAATTAAAAAAAGTATGTTCCGCAGTGAGTGGGGTATTTCGCGGAAATATTTCTTTAATTTACTTGAGACGGGACAAATAAAATCTCCCCGGCTGTAGCCAGTCTATGTTTTTTGGTGCATGGATATTTAACAAGCTGTTGCATCTAACCCCCCCCCCTTTCCATTTTTGAAAAAATATAAAAACAATTATTTTATGAATTTCTGTTAAACAAATGGAAAAGTTCTGCAAACAAATTCAACAAAATGTGTGTTGTGTGCATGTGGAGTTTGCATTAACCTAAATCTGCACTGTTCTACGCATCTCCAGATGCATATAACAAAATATGTTATTATCTGTATACAGGATAGCCCAATTCATACTTCCCTGTGGGATATGGCATGTACTTCTAGACATTCCAGCCCTGGTCGTTTTCGGCCCTTGTAAAAACTATTTAGAATTTTAAGGGTGAAATTAAAAACAATTAGCAGTATGCAAATACTGCATAATTTCCTGTTTGTCCAACGCCACGGTTTTTTGCATCACTATCAAAATCATTGCTACCTCTTACATAACATGAACTAAATGGTCTCCATAAAGCTATATTCAGGTGAGTGTGGCTACAATCTCATTAAAGGGCGCATGTGCTACATTTGTGTTGATAAACATTGATTTTCCCACAATTCAATGCGCCCTTCTAATTGAAATCACAAGTATGGGGCGTGACTTGCACTAATTACTGCCGGTGACTCCTTCAATACCTTCCAATCACCTGAAAATACCAAATTAAAGCTTGGTAATGTCTCAGTTTGTACTCATTGATCTCCGCAACAGTCAAAGTCGCCATCTAATCTTTGTTCATATGAGACCCATATGCGTGGCGCGACGTATGTAAGTAAGAGGCTCAAATTTTTTAACACGAAAAGGCGACTAGATTTCAAAACAACTATTTGAAAGCTACCGGGAAGCATACTGGAACAAATCTTTGAGCTCAAAAGCAGTTAGACGTGATACCACTCAAGTCCGGGACATATATTTTACTTGAATGTGCTGATCATTTGCTGGCAGTTTTTTAAAAATAAGTTTTGATAATCGCGAAATCCCACAATTATGATGGCATGGCAATATATTAATATATAATATTATTATAATATAATAAAATATGTACGTAAAAATAATAAAACAAAAATAGTACAAATAAAATAAATAAAAAATTAAAAACAAAATACACGCCGAACAATACATCATTATTTTCATAGTTGACATAGTTGTCGCCGAGAAAGTTCGTAACTGGGAAGGTCGTTATATTAGTAACTTGTAACATTGCACGCAACACGCATGCGCACAACAAAAGTTCAGCTGATGACGTGCTGACCTCAGTGACTTTCAGTATCTGCCAACAAAATATACCCGGATAAGAATCACCCAAAAAAGCCATGGACCCAAGCATACGTCGACCTTACGTCTGCACTCTCAGTCCCAAAACACTGGAAAAGGCAAAGCGGGAGCTGAACGAAGACCCCGACACAAGGGACGCGAAAATCGATGAATTGAGAGCAAAATTTAAAAAAGAACGACCTGAAATCAAGCTACCACCTGAGGATGCCTTTTTTGTGCGCTACCTACGAAATAAGAAATATGATGTCGATCGCGCCTTTAAGATGATCGTGAACTATTACGAGGTTCGTCGAAAATACCCGGAGTTGTACAACAACTGTCGGCCATCAGCGTACAAGCAATTATATGAGCTCGGTATACAGGGTATACTTCCAAAACGAGACAATCAAGGCAGACTGGTCTCAATAGGGAAAATGAGTGAGTATGTCGTAACAAGGTTATTTGTCCATGTCACTGCGGAATTATCCCAATAAAAACGAACCCGCGAATATTGACATCCATATAATCACACAGACAAAACTGCATAGTGGTTTAGAAAAGCAACAACAAATATATGCCCAACAAGCGGGATAAAAAGCACTTAAATATATTACACCAAAATAAACTGAAAGCATGTTCGACCTCTCGTCGACACCCCACAAACGCAGTCACCTCAACCCCGTTATCATAACAATACTAACTTCATTACACAACTGTACCGTCTGAGGGCACTGTATGGTAAAATGTATGACAAATTCTGAAAGTTTAGAATATTTACTGTTTTATAGATTGTGTTTTTCAGATACTTTGCCACATGCATGCTGCATAATTTTAATAAATTATGATATTTTGTTTGTTGTTTAATACAAGAACATTTATTTGACATTTTTTTCAAAAGAAACTTCGGCAGAGCTCCAGAAGGAGTACCTACACTTTATGCAAATTTTTTAAAATTATGCTAATTTATTCATGACGTTGCAGTTTCTGTGCTTATGAATATTCATTAATTTGTGGCTCAATACATTTTAAAAGGGGCGATATATTATTTTTGGGGGAAGAGTTAGAAAGGGGGATTAGCAATCCTTAGGGGGTCAATACAAAAGAAGGGACCCATTTGGAGAGCAGCCATGCTCCTCGTGTCTGTTGTTGCACGTGACCTACAGCTGTCAAGTGTGTTCGTTCTTCGACGACTTCGACTGGCTTCCATGTGGGATAGTATTCTTGTGTTCTGTTTTCCTGACTTGAGTTTTTGAATCCGCTGTTTATGTTTTTAACGTCTTTCATGTCTTTTGTA